TATTTAGACTTGTCTCTCATTTTGTTTTAGTTAGTTATTCATTTATTTTTTATGTATTTATTTATTTATATATTATATAAAAATAATAATTGTATAAATTAATTTAATTTAATTTATTAAGTGTATGGCTAAATGGTGTTGTAAAGATCATTTGTGTCTGATTTTCATTTCTGTTCTAATGAATTTCAGGAGAAACATCTGAGAGTTATTTTAAAGACTCTGAGAACTCCATTAAGTCTCCTGAGCTGTGAAAGAGCAACTTATATTCAGATTTTCCTCTGAGTGAGTTTATGTGACTTTCCATTCAAATCCAACTTCAATACTGATGTGAGATGAGAGGAACATTTTCTTCATTTCGCCATATGCTTCCATTGGATGCGCTTTACTGTGACCGCCATTGTTGCTGAAAGACGAGTCAAACTTATTGTCTCTTTTCATCAACATCATGGCACAAACACTGTCAGTAGAGTTTAGCTTGTATGGAACCCAGAACATGCACGTATACATCAAACCAATGAGAAACCAATCAGAAAACTTTGTTGTGTAACAAAGCGAGACGTTTGTAGACTTTTGGCGATGATTGAAGCACAAAAACATGACAAATTGGACGAGTAACTGGCAGACTGTGCTGGGAGGTTTTAAACTTGTGTTATTTGTTTGATTTGACAAATGGTTTGGAGAATGGGCCTGTAAAAGGCTTCAGGAGAAGTCAGATACGCTGTTACCTCTCATTTTATGGATGAGGGAAAGTGCCAGGCGTCAGTCAATCTCATGGGATTTGCTCACACGACTGCTGTCAGACGAACAAAACAGCTATACTTGTACACCAAAATTTGCACCATCAAGCGATTTATTTGAGAGAAGTTAATGCACAAAAAACAGCCTGAAAAGTAATTGTCTTGCCGCATACACACACAAATCTCACACAATGCCAAAGTGAATTGGCTGCTCTATAAATCCAAACCGACTTGTATGATTGCATTTCAAATCTTGCTCATTGTGAGGCACACAACAAATTTCAGTTTATCATGAATATTACGCTTGATTAAGCTTCTATCATATGTCTCTTAACATGCAGCCGACCTCTCCGGGAATTTATTCATCATGTTTATTCATTGTGCTGACTTGTATATTTTTATTTTTTCTCCCCATTAACTTCATTGTGAATCCGGCAGGTTTCTCGTTCTTGTGCATCAGCATTGCTATTGGCCTTCACATCAGATAAGCATCCCTAATGTGAGGAACGTGGAGAAGGGGAAAGTACTTGTATAATAATTATATTTGTCCAAACTTTTGTGAAGCGGAGAGGTAGGATACATGCTGACTGAAATGTAGATTACTTCAGTATTCACTATTGTGCAGCATGTCGGCTCTAAAATGCAGGTAAGTGTTATGTGTTGTAATGATTTTATAATGTTTCCCTGTGAACATGTTGAAAGCATTTGTCATTTGTGGGTGCTTTCTTAAGGTTTTTATTTATGCATTTATCGGTAGAGCCAATAATTAAGAAATGGCGATTACTATTACAGACATTTCATTTCATTTTGTGACAAAAAAACCCGACCGATAATCAGTTACCGATATTTTTATGGAGACTTTTCTGAAAAACGCCACCACCTGGTGAGTCTGAAGAACAGCACAAACAACATCACACTGCTGTAGGTTACAACAAAAGGTAATGTAATATTTCAAGTATTTTTTGCATAAATTACTCTTTTATTGCTATTCATTAGGCATTTTAAGCTGCTAAACAGTATAATGCATTTAAAGAATATATGTTATTGTTAAAACATTTATGTAGCAAATAGTTTTTAATTGTTGTATTGTATTGTTTAATTGTTTTAACCGATAATCAGTTATATATGTTATAGACATTGAGAAATGCGGCCACTTGTTGAATCTCTGAAGAACAGCACAAACAACATCAACAGAAAACAACTGTTTACAGGTAAAGTAATATATGTAATGCATTTTTTGCATAAATTACTCAGTTTTTTATAGCTATTCTATATTTTAAGCTGTTAAACAGTATAATGCATTTAAAGAAAATATATATATTTTTATTGTTTTTAAGTATACATTTCCATTGGCCTTCGGATCAGATAAGTATCCGAATGCCCCTAATATGAGGAACGAGGAGAATGGGAAAGTACTTGTATAAAAATACTCTGTACAAACTTTAGTGCATTGGAGAGGCAGCAGAGAGGTACGATACATGCTGACTGGGATGTAGATTACTTCAGAATTCCCTATTGTGCAGCATGTCGGCTTTAAAATGCAGGTAAGTGTTATGTGTTGTAATGATTTTATAATGTTTCCCTGTGAACATGTTGAATGCATTTGTCATTTTTGGGTGCTTTCTTAAGGTTTTTATTTATGCATTTATCGGTAGAGCCAATAATTAAGAAATGGTGATTACTATTACAGACATTTCATTTCATTTTACGACAAAAAACCGACCGATAATCGGTTATCGATATTTTTATGGACACTTTTCTGAAAAATGCCGCCACTTGGTGAGTCTGAAGAACAGCACAAACAGCATCTCACTGCTGTAGGTTACAACAGGTAATGTAATATTTCAAGTATTTTTACATAAATTACTCTTTTATAGCTATTCATTAGGCATTTCAGGCTGCTAAACAGTACAATGCATTTAAAGAATATGTTATTGTTAAAACATTTATGTAGCAAATTGTTTTTCATTGTTGTATTGTATTGTTTAATTGTTTTAACCGATAATCAGTTATATATTTTATAGACATTGAGAAATGCCGCCACTTGTCAAATCTCTGAAGAACAGCACAAACATCATCAACAGAAAACAACTGTTTACAGGTAAAGTAACATATGTAATGCTTTTTATTTTGCATTAATTACTCAGCTTTGTATAGCTATTCCATATTTTAAGCTGTTAAACAGTATAATGCATTTAAATAAAAAAAATAAAATAAAAAAATAAAAATAAATATATATATATTTTATTGTTTTTAAAGTATATATTTCCATTGGCCTTCAGATCAGATAAGCATCCGAATGCCCCAAATATGAGGAACGTGGAGAAGGGGAAAGTACTTGTATAATAATACTCTGTGCAAACTTTAGTGCATCTGAGAGGCAGCAGAGAGGTAGGATACATGCTGACTGGGATGTAGATTACTTCAGTATTCCCTGTTGTGCAGCATGTCGGCTCTAAAATGCTGGTAAGTGCATTCGCTCCTCGCGCGGCCTGTGCCGCTACATCTGCCGTGGGCCGTCTGCTCACCGCGACGATCCCCGAGCCCCTGGCCGCCTGCCCTGACACCCGACACAAAGTAATCACAGATCACAGCATTTAATCACTGAAACAAGCACTCTGGAGAGGCGGCGTGTCAATATCCCACTCTCTCATTATCTCTTTGGATTGCACATCCACACTGTCAGATAAACAGAGTGGAAAATTAAGATTAAAAATATGGTAATTTCATTTGAGCGCAGGCAAGCGCTCGATCCCGCTGCCCCATTATGCTATTGATTACTCTCAATTCAATCTCTCCTTTCAATGTAAACTTTAATCTATTCACCACCCAACAAGCCTTGCTCCCCCGGGGCTATTTTAGAGTAAGTAACCATTTAATATAATATCACTAGCGTTAATGAATTGTGTAAATCACGGCGCTTCAACAAGCTCTTGATTCGAGAGCCAAGCAGTCCTTCCTTCTGTCAACTGCATTTAACATTAAGTGGCCGTAAATGTGGCTTTAAAAATTAACACGGGCCAGACGTTTGATGGCTGGCAGGATATTAATTGCGACAGACTTGAAAATTAAGAGATCATTATCAAGTTTTCATTCATAAATGAATCTCAGACATATGCTATGGAATCACTTTTGTTTGCGTATTGAATAAGAGAGATGAGTACAAAAGAAGAAATAATTATTATGAAGGAATAATGATGAGACTGAATGAACATGAAACAATTACTTGCTTAGCAAAGGCTTAATAGGCTCTGAGAAAATATTGCATGTAAAGCAGAAGCTGTACAACTCCATCACACCAAAATATTAATAATAGCATGTGTTACTGGTAACATACAGAAATGATGTGCAATTTTTAATACTTATGATAATGATTGTTTTCATGTTCCTCATCGAACACAATGTCACTATTGGGTGCTATTCTTTGGGCTTTTATTTGTTCATTTATCTGTAAAGCTAATATTAAAGATAAAATCGTAATAAATATTAGAAGTCGACCGATTTATCGGCCGATATTTAGCATGGAAACAATAAAAAAATATATTATTTACAGTTTTTACAGGTAAAGTAACATATTTAAAGTATTTTTTGCATAAATTACTCAGCTTTTCATAGTTATTCATTAAGCATTTGAAGCTGTTAAATAGTATAATATATGAAAAAATATTTTAATGTTATTTTGTTGCTGATTACTTTTTAAGCGTTTTAAGTTTAGAGATAGTTAGAGATAGCCCAAAACAATATAATGTATTTAAAAAAAATATTTTGCTAAAATATTTGTTGCATATATTTATTTGTGCTAGTGTAACGATTATTTATTTATTATTTAATATATATAATGGTTGATTATTCTTTAAGAGTTTTAAGGTGTTGAATAGTTAGAGATATATGAATATGAATAGTTATACACAGTATATATATATATATATATATATATATAGGTCGATGGTATTCATTAAGCTTTTTAAGACATTAAACCATTAGAGACAATGTAATGCATTAAAAATATTTTATTGTTACATATTTATGTTGGATATTGTATTGTTGTGGTAGTGTATGATTATTTATTTATTATTTAATGTATATATTGGATTATATCCATTAAGCATTACGCTGTTAAACAGTTAGTGATAGCCCAAAACAATATAATGCATTTAAAAAATGCATTTTATTGTTAAAATATGTATGCTGCGTATTATATTTTTAATCGTGGTAGTGTAATGATTATTTATTTATTATTGTTTAATATATATAGAAGAATAAATATCTCGGATATCTTCAATTTGTATTCTCTCTCGTGAAGCAGAGTCTGTTATTGTGAGATAGTTTGTAAACTAGGTTGGCATCCACTGGTGGACGTTTTTGGATCTCTCACTAATTTATTATTTATTCATCAGGGAGTGTTGGTGATTTTGGCCTCTCATCTTCCTCTTATTGGCAGTAAGGGGGCGTTTGACACCAGCGTAGGTGAAGAACTCTCCCCGCTGTGCTCCATTTGGTGCCGTTCTTCACCTCAGCCACTGACCGGACGGCCATCGACCCGCATGGCTCCTTACGGACCTCCAACAAATGCTGCCACAAATGGATCTAATTGGCACCTCTGCATGCCCCTTCCAGAGGAGGCCAGAGATCAGGTGGGCAGACGCGGGACGGAGAGAAACAAGTGCAGAGTTTTGATATGCACACAGTAATAAAATAATTTTTGCAGTGTAATATTACATTGGCAGTGCATCTGTACATACCAATCAAAATACATTACACTTTCTTCAACTTTCCCTTCATTCCTTACATCAATATGCATCTATTCTTGCCATCCAGAGCTAGTTAAAGAGCACTAGTGACCCTGCTTTTGTGTTTTACATCAAAGCACAATGTGTAATACTGATGGACTTATAACTCAGTCTTTTATAAAATAATATTTTATGTTATTTAGCGCTGTGACATTTCCATTGCAAATACTGATCTGATTCATAATCAGCATTTAAGACCATGTCATCTTTCTAAGTTGCTGTAATCGTGTTCTCCAGTGACTTTCAAACATCCTGCTGTGAATGGTCTCACAAAAATGTCGTGATCAATAATTCTCCACACAGCTGGAAATAGTTTAATCAATGAGTACAAGATGAGTGGTCAGCGACTGGGAACTTTAGCATCAAGTCATACAGAAATCAATCGTCATTATGCCTCTGATTAGCATTATAGGAACAGTCAGACTGTTTTAATGGTGAAGTGTGTAATATTTTCAGTATTGAAATAAAAATTAAAATAAATTAATATAATAAGATCAAATAAAGAAAAATTAATAAAAATGAAATAAAGTAAAATACACACTTCACGTTTAAATTGTAAATCACGTTCCATGTTCCAATTAAGTAAAATAAAACAAAAAAATAAATAAGTAAAATTAAGTAAAATAAAACAAAAAAATAAATAAGTAAAATTAAGTAAAATAAAACAAAATTAAAATAATGTATAATAAAATTAAATAAAATAAAATATACGTTACGAATCCAATCCGTGTATCATTCGATCATTCGTTTTTTGATTTAATATTGAAAGTGGAAAAATGAGAAAACGGCTCCTTTTTCGTTTTTTTCCAAAAAACGAAAAACGAGAATTCAGCTTAAATTTTCTTTTTTCGCTCAGGGGTAGAAAAATAAATAAACAGCTTGAATATTCGATTTCTACACGTGGGAGGGAATTAAACGCGCCTTTCTGTTGATTGGTCAGCCGAAGATCAAACCGTGCCTTCATCAGTTCTTCTGCAGTATCACGCAGCAGAATAATAGTCCTCCACTGCTGCAGTTGTCTGGATTCTTAACGCATTTATTGCAACTACATTTCATCTTTTTTCATCAAACAAACAGGCTAATGAATAGCTTGACACAACTCATACCTGGGCAGTATGGAGGACAAAACCTGCAAAAACAATAAATAAATAAATACAAAAATAAATAAATAAATAAATGACAAAAAGTATGTTTATTAAGCAAATAACGGTTCAGTATTGCAATTAAGATCTATGTAAGCATTAATATTTTACATTGGCCACTTTTAAAATATTTTATGATTTAGCTCTCTCATGATTATAACTACAAAACTAACCCTATGAAAAAGTGTAAGATAATAATCAGTCACCTTGACTGATGAAGTTAATACGCATGCGCAGGCAAACACTCAAGCAGTCACACACGATCCGCCTACTATAATTGACACTCTCTCATTAGCATGTTGCACAGAGGGGAAAAAAAAGTGGAACTACATTCAGAAATAAATGAGTGATCAAAGGAAAATAGTTAGGATGAGTTTAGCATTTCCTTAAACATTTTCCATTTGCCCACCAATTTATTTCTATTTATTTTAATTTTTCAATAAATTTTTTTATTATTTATTTGCCTACTTTTATCACATATATAATTATTTATTTATGTATTTAAACAAGAATACATGTATTTATGCACACATTTATTTATTTATTTATTTATTGTGTATTTATTTACTTATTGTTTTTGCAGGTTTCGTCCTCCATAGGGCAGAGTCTACACAGGGCTTTCTTCTGTGTAGATATAAATTCTATTATTTGCATCAGCTGGGCATGGCAGGGTATGATATGACAGCTGTCATAGCCTACCCTGCTCACCCAGTAAGTCTGTTTGTTTAATTAATTAATTAATTAACTAATTTGTTTCAAAATAAATATTTTAAACACTAAGACAAAAAGGAAGGAATAATAAATTTGCTTGGGTATATATAGGTCTATAATGCTCATGCAAGAACTGTCATTTTGACTGACAACCAGAGAACAACAGATATTAAATAGCCTACTGTTAGAGTTATATAATGTAGTCTTGTGTTTTATTAAAATTGATTATAATTGATATCTCAAAAGGAGATGCACTTGTGCGCGGCGTGAGCTACTGCGCACTCGCACTGCAACACAAGATTTTCATAAAATATAATAACTTGCCATTTCGGTTTGTTTCTCACCAAACCCTCAGTATACCTTCAGAATGCTTGGAATATACGCCACGAGATACATATGATTATTTTACGACAGATATGCATCCGCTTAAATACAAAAAACTTAATCTAAAGTCACCATTCTCTGCCATTAAATTGGCCAGTGCGAGCAGGACATTTTTGTGTTATTAAGTAATCAGCCTTTAGAACAACATTAAGGTGAGTAGTGACTCTAGTTCACACAGTTCCAATAAATTGCGATGGGTTAAATAAACTCAATAAGCAGACAGACGCGACTACAGTCAAGCGCAGAAGTGCACAGGAAATAAGCAGCAGTCATATTTAAAACTTTGCAGTCTGGAAATACTTTAGGCTATAGCACATTATTTCGCGGACCCCCTATCACTTTAAGAACTGCTGGTCTACACAGAAGAAAGACCTGTCTAGACTCTGCCCCAGTACGAGTTGTGTCGAGCTATTCATTAGTCTGTTTGATGAGAAAAATAGGAAATGTAGTTGCAATAAAATGGGTAATTAATCCATACAACTGCAGCAGTGGAGGACTATTATTCTGCTGTGTGCAGCGTGATACTGCGGAAGAACTGATGGTAATTGGTTTGAACTGATGGTGAGACGGTCTGATCTTTGGCTGACCAATCAGCAGAAAGGGGTGTTTAATTCCCGCCCACATGTAGAAATCAAATATTCAAGCTGTTTATTCATTTTTCTACCCCTGAGCGAAAAAAATAAAATTTAAGCTGAATTCTCTTTTTTAAATTTTTGGGAAAAAGACGAAAAAGGAGCCGTTTTCAAATTTTTCTACTTTCAATTTTAAATCAAAAAACGAATGATCGAATGATACACGGATTGTTACGTTAATGTCCTGTGTCTTGTGTTTTGTTTAGTTTCCTATGGGTCCCAGCTGCCTTTTTGCTCTAGTTTTCCCTTGTGTTTCCTTTGCCCATATTTGGATCTTCCTGTTCCTGTTCTGATTATGTTGATTTGTCTCCAGCCGTGTTAATTTAGTCTTATCATTTGTGCTCCTTTATAAGCTGGTCTCCAACGTTCATTCGGTGTCCGGTCTCAGTTATCTTTAGTGTGTGTACTCTCCACGTTTCCTCAGTTTTCTATTAAAAGTTCCTTATTGCAAAGATTCTCCGAGCCTCCTGCGTTTCCCTGCCTGACACACCGTGACAAAAGACCGGACCGATAACAGTAAGCGGCGTCCCTTCTCCTCGTTTTTTGTTTTCGGTTTTTCGAAAGTGTTTTGGTTTTCCGTTCCACCCCCCCCCCCCCCCCCCCCCCCCCCCCACGATCATGGAAATCGCCGCTCGTTTCATTGCCCTAGCCCATAGTGATCTCCCCTTCGTCGAGTATGCCTGGGAGTTCAGCGACGGCATTAGATGACGCCACCATCAACTCTCTGTTCTGGCACGGGGCCAATTACCATTGCCCCGTGGACCTCCCAGACAAGTCCCGTCAAGTCCGCCAGCCGTGGCATTCTCAAGCTCGCCGGCCGTTCCATGTTCACGTCCGCCGGCTGCTCCTCAGTCAAGCCCACCGGCCGTGCCAGTCGTGGGCTCCAGTCCCCGAGTTTAGCCCAGAGAGGGCTCCAGTCCCCGAGTTTAGCCCAGAGAGGGTTTCAGTCCCCGAGTTTAGCCCAGAGAGGGTTCCATTCCCCGAGTTTAGCCCAGAGAGGGCTCCTGTCCCCGAGTTTAGCCCAGAGAGGGCTCCAGTTCCCACATCCAGCCCAAGGAGGGCTCCAGTTCCCACGTCCAGCCCAAGGAGGGCTCCAGTCTCCGAGTCAAGTCCAGGGAGGGCCATAGTTCCCGAGTCAGGCCCACGGAGGGCCTTAGGGGTTGATATTTTCCCCAAGTATTTTATTGGGGGGGGTTATAGGGCTCCGGCCGAAGAGGCCAGGCCGAGTGCCGAGGCCGAGGCCAAGGCCACAGAGGCCGCTCCGCCATGGCTCCCCAAAATGTCTGATCCGCCATGGCCCCCTGAGTTCCCTGCTCCGCCATGGTTCCCCTGAACTGTCTGCTCCACCATGGCCCCCTGAGTTCCCTGCTCCGCCATGGCCTACTGAACTGTCTGATCCGCCATGGCCCCCTGAGTTCCCTGCTCCGCCATGGCCTCCTGAACTGTCTGATCCACCATGGCCCCCTGAGTTCCCTGCTCCGCCATGGCCTCCTGAACTGTCTCATCCACCATGGCCCCCTGGGGTCCCTGCTCCGCCATGGCCTCCTCAACTGTCTGATCCACCATGGCCCCCTGAGTTCCCTGCTCCGCCATGGCCTCCTGAACTGTCTGCTCCGCCATGGTTTCCCAGTCTGCCTTCTCGGCCATGGCGCCCCAAACTGGTACCGCCTTGGAGGCATCCCTGTTCCGTAGTGGTCGTTCCTGAGGGACCTCCAAGGTGCCCACCCTCCCACCCAGTTCATGTTATGTGGCGCGAGGACACACTTTCCAGAAGGGGGCGTTATGTTACATTAATGTCCTGTGTCTTGTGTTTTGTTTAGTTTCCTATGGGTCCCAGGTGCCTTTTTTCTCTAGTATTCTATCGTGTTTGCCTTTGCCCATATTTGGATCTTCCTGTTCTGATTATGTTAATTTGTCTCCAGCCGTGTTAATTTAGTCTTATCATTTGTGC